GTTTTTTTTCTTCTTGTTTGCTTCAGTTGATATCGATTTTGAATCGCGCTTTTATGTTGACCAGCTGATAGCTGAATGAAAACGTATAGCTAGAATTAGTGGTGTTGGTGATACTGGTTTTGATGGGAATGGTAATTATTACGGGTACAATCGATGGTTAATCATTTGCATGATAATTTTGATAAATTAGTTTAAAATTATGCCTGGTAGTTTACTTGAATCAATAAGTAAAAAGAGTGAAAAAGATTCAACACGTTCGTCATCTTCATCATCATCCTTTCCTTCACCAGTATCACCTTTCTCATCATTAACCAATAATAATCGTCATTCCTCTCCTCATCATCATCGCCATCATTTAATCAGTTCAGCTCGGTCTGATAGGTCTGATGGATCATCAACATCAAAAAAGGTTAGCTTCAACAAGGCTGTTCGCGTTAAAAAATATTCACAACCACCAACACAAACAGGAGATTTGAGTGAAAGTAAATTCTGGTTTCAGGTTCACAAGGCCAATTCCAACCACCTAAACACCTACAATCATCCTTACCATCAACATCCACAACAACTGTGCAACGAAACAGTCGCAGATAATAACAACAGTGAAAGTAACAGTCAACAAGAGCATCAACTTTCAACTAGTAAATCTGACGACTCAAGTAAATCATCAAACAAATTAGTTGATTCATTTGATAATAATTCTAGTCAACTGAGTGAATATTTTTTACCCTTTGATAATAACGAATCATTATCATCATCAGCATCACCATCTAATAATAACTTGCTCGGACCTCGCCCATTGTCAACAATAGTTGAAAGTGATTTAAGATCATCATCATCTAACATAGTTGAAACACCATTAGAAACCTCAATGGCCCCAGCGACCAAGAAAGATGGGGTTAAAATAGTTGATTATTCTGAAAATCAAGGTACAATTGGACGGAATAGTGAAACTAAATCAAACAAAGGTTCAATTATTGGTGATCATTCACCATTGACCAATACTTCAAAAGGATTAAGCAACAATCGTCGGATAATCAACTATGAACCCTACAGAAGTGCTTCGACTATTGGTTTAGATATTGATTCGTCTCTTCGACCACGATCACCATCTCCACTCACTAAAAATGGACGCCACTCCAGTGTCGATAGTTGCCATCGTACAATATCTTCGCCATCACCAACAACTAAACCTAATTCAATCAGACCAGGATCAGTGGCAAGTGAAGAAATTATTGAAACCAAAACAATCGAAAAGAAAACTCCTCTTCTAAGTGGTGTCAAGGTAATGTTCGGTGTAAAGGCTAAACGAGCACCAACTTTTCCAACTATGCCAAGTCGTTTTAAATCGGCTGAACGAACTACAACACCAGCCAAACCAACAACAACATCTAAAACTCCAGCTACTATTGTAAGACCAACATTTGCATCCAGAACTACAAACACTTCTACGCTATCTAAATCTAAAGAACCACCGTCGACTACTTACAAATCTCGATTTCTCGAAACAAATAATAATAAAAGTTATACGCCAGCTTCAATTCGAAGTCCACCATTAACATCAAGTCTAAAGAAAACAACCACAAAAGTTTCCTCTTCTTCTGATCGTGAAAATAACAATATTAGACCAGCATCAAAATTATCGAAAGCATCAACCAACGAGACTAATGCCAAAAGTGTGTCAATGAAAACAAATAATGAGCCAAGTGAAGCCGTGGAATTAACGAGAGAAAAAGCTGCTGACCAATCTACAAATGATTTGATTCCTGTTGCTACTTGGAGTTCAGGTCCAATTTTGATATCCAATCAAGCAAATCGAGAAACATCATCATCCTACATTCCCGGTGAAGGTAAATTGATGGCAACACTTGAGGAGGGAACTACAATTTGGAAATCAAAAACCCGAAAAGTTTATGAAGAACCTATCAAAATACCGAAAGAAAGGCCTGCATCGCCTGAAAAGCTAGACCGTTCCCCGGAAAGATTAGCGATAACATCAACTGACTCACTTCAGCGCCCAATAAAGTCTAAGTCACCCGATAGGGAATCATCTTCTCGTACTCATTCACCTACAAGATATCGTGAACGATCACCTGCGAGGTCAATCCGAGATGCTTCTTATGATAGACGAAGTGTATCACCAATCAGGCGTTATGATTCACCTGAAAGGCCAGTTAGACATCGATCGCCATCACCAATTGAACGGCCATCAGTGATTAAAGAAGACGATGTAATTGATGGACAGAGAACAACTAGAACTCGATTCTCTCCTTCTCCAGACACTTTCTATCGTTCGCCTAATCATGATGATCATTTTGATAATGAACCTAAATTACTACCACCCAGTGAAGATCTAGATGAAGTTTTCCTGCGTAAAGATATTCAATTGAATGGGCAAGAGCCTGATCAAGACGATTTTATTGCTGAATATACACCCAAAATGGAGGATAAAGCATGCCAATGTAATTTGAAAAGATCGAGCAAGGCTAAATTGCCTGATGAGGGTGGATTGGGATATCGCGTGATTAAACCTGCAACAGACGGATCTGTATCTACGTATTCAAATGTTCCTGATATTTCAGATGCTGAAACTGAACTTGAGCCAATCAGTGGGCAATCTAAAATTAATGATCGACAACCAAGGTCAAGTCGAAGTCCATCGCCCACAGAACGTAGAACTGTATCACCTGGAAATAATTCTGAAGTAATTTATAGTCAGATTGATAGAACAAAGAAACGACCCAATTTGATATCCAACTCGCCAAATCACTTTTCAAATACAAATTATCCATCTGATATACTTGATCAACCTACTGAATATCCAGATGATTATTTATACGAGGCAAATCCAATTAAATCTGCTCGTCCAGTCTCTCCCAACCGAAGTGTATCGAGAGAAGGCACAAGAGTGAATGAACCCCATCGGCAATCATCACCATCACCAAGTCGAAGCTACATGGTTGATATTGGTAGAAGAAGCAAAGCAGATTCACCATCACCTTCTAGGCCTAATAAAACCGTCTCGGTGTCGACCAAAACTTATGGATTTAATATGAAGACTGCTCTTGATGCTCCAGAAGTTAATCTTCCTGCTCGACCTCCTCTAACAAAACCTAGAGTAATTGAACCAACAAATGGGTATTATACTCATGACCATGATACTATTTCAAGATCCAGAGGCAATTCAAGATCAAGAGATCAGATGAGAGAAGAAACATTCTCAAATATTTCAAGTGATGAATTAGTTCACTCAATGCCAAGGCGAGGAGATATTTCTGAGCCAGATGACTTTGTTGCGCCTAAGTCAATTATTAGAGAGATCGACCATCGAAAAGGTGAAATCAATTATGAGAATGTAATTCCTGGATCGAGAAATCGTTCAACTGGACTCAGAAGTCCATACGAAGAAAGAGTATCCAATGGAGGAACTAACAGTATGTGGTTTAGATCACTTGATGATGATTACCGAAAGGGAATGTCTGAAAGGGATGGTTATAACCATGATGCTGATCATGTTACTGATTATTGTACCATGTCTCGACGAGGTCGTGATCGTTTAGCCCCACAAAATGCTGATTACTCTCCATCTTCAATGGGACATGCTTATACTCTTGACAGGCGACATCTTGATCGTGCAAAAAGATCCAAACGACCTGGACCTAGCTATTCAACGGCAGGTTCACATTTAGGCATTTCATCTCCCATGTCAGTTTCAATGAATGAAGCTGCACCTGGAAATAATTCGTTAAGTCTAAGAAAGTACAATTCAAATCGTGATTTAACAAATTATTCATCTGACTTTGGCGACATTGGATCAACAAGAGGTGGACTTGCAGCAGCTTATAAAGCGAGACAACGACGAGCATCATCTCTAAGTCGATATGGTCAATCACCTAACGGTTATCTTCCAATATCGTCATCTCCTCATCATCATCGAACCTCCTATTCTGTTCTATCGCCCAGTTATCCACTTCATGGTTCTCATAGTCAACTTCATAGGCTTCATCTTAGTGGATCAGAAAATGCTTATCCTCATCATCATGCTCAATCTGTTTATCATCACCCAATCAGATCAAGTGCCTCTCACCTTGGAACATCAGGTCACTATGGACATTCATCATCGGAAAGTGAAGCTGGAATGGGATCCCATCAAAGAGCAATTAGTGGCTCAAGAAGTCGCCTTCATCAAAATGATCCAGTTGTACTTTATATTCCAGCAATTAGTCATCATCATCGTCCAGTAGATGAAGATGATCGTAATTCAGCTCTCGGAATTGCTCGCACTCAATCGATTCTTTCATCTTCTAAACGAAGTGTTAAAAATAATTCTACATCCAATAAGAAGAGAGAGCAAAGTAAAGAACGTGATGCCAATTTTAATGAGATAACAACCAAAGTTAATGGTTACCTTGATAATCGTACTTCGCCAACTGGCCTTGAAGGTGACGATGAAATTGTTGAGTTAAGGGATGACGAAGAAAACAATAAAAATAAAATGAACGGCAAAAAGAATGTTAAAAGAAGTGTTAGCATTCCTAAAGATGCTAAACTTCCTTGGTTACAAAAGCTTAAAATGAAAGTAAAATCATAATTTTTAGAACTAAATTTAATTGTAATTAATTAATCTAATCCTTTGTACTTTTCACTCTCTGGTTGTGATTTCCTTTCATTTTTACAATCTTGCAATAATTTCCGTCCATCAGTTTTATTAATCTTGATTTCCATTAACTTACCTAATATCACATTTCATTATTCTAGATTCTACAATTGTAATTACAATTGAAAATTAATTTTCTTGCATTTGTTTTATCACTATAAATGTATTTCTGTATTCCTGATAATTACTGAGTAATTATTTTTTATTACAAAATTTAATTATTTTAACATAATAAAACTATATTTGACGAAACTTCCAACAACTGTTCTCAAACAACGATCAACTAATTTAATGCTTACAAGTTAGTTTAAATCGAGCTTAAATAAAAGAAACCAATGTGGAATGATTAAATTAATTTTTTCTATTTATGTTCTCAACCAAGTAAAAAAAAGTTTCTTAAATAAATGGATTTAGACAATTAGTGTTTTTCATGACATAGTATGGTGCAACAAAGGATTGAAAATGAAAAAAATGAAAAAACAATCCAGTTGTTTTTCAAGTTTAATTAACTTCTTGAACAGTGTGTTGGGCATCAATAATTTGATCAGGGGTAAATTGAACTTCATCGATTGGACCATCATAGGAAGGTGCTTTGCTTTCCTCAGAGGAAGTAGCAAGGTATTTGGAGATCATCGTCTTGAACATTGCCTTTTCTTTTTCTTTTTGAGTCTTGAGACCATGTCGAGCTTTGATAAGTTGGTTTTTAGCTGCTTTATTTTCAGGCTCTAATTGTAAAAGCTTTTCGAAGTCTTCGATAGCTTTCTCGTATTCTTGGATAGCAGAAAAGGCAGATCCTCTTCGGAACAGTCCTTTACAATTGTTAGGATCGATTTCCAATGCAGAGTCACAGTTTTTAAGGACATCATGATATTGTTCGAGTTTTAGGTAAACCATGGCCAAATTTAAGTGACCAGCTAGAAGAACACTATTTTTCTCCTTTTCATCAACCTTAACATCACTTTTTTCTTCCTCCATATCTTCCTCTTCCATATCATCCTTTAGACCATCCTTGCGATATGGACCTGATAGAAGGGAAATAAAATGTAAATATTAAATTAAGAAACTTACAATAAATTAAATTTGAATAACTTACCAATCAAAGTTGGAATTTTTTTATACTGTTTAAGAGAGAGTTGAAATTTATTTTGTTTGAAATAGTTAGAACCTTTGTCTTTAGCAAGTTTAGCGTGCTCTAATCTTTCCTCTTCGGACATTTCCCAGGTCTCTTTTTCCTTTTCGAAGCTGTTGAGTGTAACCTGAAATCAGGAAAAAGGTATTAATCAATAAATTTCAATAGTAAAATTCATTATCAAAACTTACTTCATAAATGACTTCATTATAATCAGCTGGTAAATTAAACTCTGCAGGAGGATTTGGTCCCCATGCATAATCTGAACGGATGTATATCAAAGCCTTCTCTCCGCTTTTCATTTTGCCGATTCCTAAATCAAGACCTTCAACAATGTTGGACTCAGAAGCCTCTCCATGGCAAAAAGTAATGTCTCTTTCGTCGAATACCTTATTGTTGAATTTACCAACAATGTGAGCTTGAATGGTAGCACCATCATTGGGAGTAGAATAACCGGATCCTTGAACTATGGTTCGTTTTCTAACTCCACCGTCAGTTTTCTTGGTACAATCAACCATTTTCCAATCAAACAGCTCAATTTCAAAAATAAGAGTGGCGTTTGGAGGAATCTTTGGTGGACTACCGGTAGCACCATAACCATACTCTGATCGAATGGTTACTTGACACAATTCACCAGCTTTCATGCTAGCTACTGCAAGATCCCAACCCTTAATAACTTGACCTTGACCCAGAGTGAAAGAGAAAGTAGAGCCACGATCGCGAGAGGAATCGAACACGGTTCCATCTTCAAGTTTTCCGACATAATGGACGAAAACTTTGTCACCGGCAGCCGGAGTTTCCCAACCTGGTTGATGCAAAAGATAAAAAGATAGAAAATACACGTGAAATTGTAAATGATGTGAGATAATACGGGTCAGGATAAGATTAAAAGAGATTAAAATGCATCTATCGAAGAAAAAAATCTATACCTGAACCAGCTTTGATAATTTCCTTAAGCACTCCACCATCCTTAGCATCAGTTACATCGATGGGACTAGAAAGAACATCCTCGTCTCCGATTTTCTCAGTCATTTCATCTCCCGATTGTTTAAACATAATTTCTTCTGATGCACCAATATCCATCTTGAGATTTTTATGAAAATGTTGTTAATTTATTTAGAATACAATTAAAGACACGTGAAGACGCTGAAGGTAAACAAATTCAAAGAACAACAACTGTGATGAAAAAATGGATTATCTGTAAATCTCGAGAAATTAGTTAATAAGCAGATTAAACAAAGGAAATCAAATCAGAGGAAATAAATTAACCGGTGTGATGCTTTTAGATAGAGTTGATCCAAGAAATTATAATACCATTTGTTTGGGATTCAGTTTAAACATGCATTCGGTCAGCTTCTAGCAATTTCTACATGAGTTTGTGAGTTGCGGGAAGTTACACAAGCGCCATCTTTTCCTACTTTTTTCATTTAAAGCTGCATAAATCTTACATTTGTTAGAGTTATTTATTATGAGTACAGTTATTACTCTTCGAGTTAATTAACATGTAATTAATCAATTTTCATACAAAAAACAACAAAATAAACTATAAAATTGAGTGAAAATTAAATTTGTAGTTCTATATAATCTATCTTTATTCATCCAATAATAAAGAGAATGTAATATTGCAAAGAATAAATTTGAATTTTACAAGAAAAAAACCAATCCTTTTGTTTTTAATTTTTTTGAAGGCAGTGAGGGTCATGAAATTATCATGCACTCACAAGGGAACGTTTTTAATGCGTACTCACCGATTTTGATGAGGGGTAGCGCAATCGATAGGGTAAAGCTTCCTTATCAACGGAATTTTGGTCTTTTTTCTGTAAATTTTGTGGTTCCTTAGATTTTTGGGTTTGAATTTTAGGCATTTTCATTAAATTCATTTTTAACAAAGATTAGAATATCTAATCAGGCGTAGCCTAGTGGGTAAAGGAGTAGGTGAAAGTATGAATC